GTCAAATTTCATGTAATTTATTCAAGCGCGACACTCTAGCAAAATGGATGTCCTTCATAGGTAATTTCGATGTTCCGAACGCATCGGCGCGGTCTGTTTTATCATCCAAAACCGTTCGAACAATCTCGTCGATTATCGGGTCAAAAACACGTCGAATTCGATTTTCGTTAAAATTTCAACTCACAATTGATCGTTTTAAAAAATTTATTTAAGTTTTCGACAAAAAACGGCGCAAGCGATGCAAATTGTGGAAAACAAATGTGTCAAGTTTTTTAATTGCGAAGTTTGTGCCCGCAAATGTGCAAATTGTGCATAAGGTAATCCTAAGGCATAATAACTCTATAGGGACTCCTTTTGGGTTTCCTCATGTTGGTTTCAACCTTCTAAGTGCTAGAGGCTGATACCACACATGCGAAACTCCAAAAGGGTAAAAAAGTATGTGAGATTTCTAAAATGAAGTGGGTCTTATTTCTAAGGTTCTAAGATAGCCAATGAGAGAACCTTATGGCTAGACCCTAAACCCTAAGAAAAAAATTAGACCTCACTAAAAATGAGGTCAACAATTGTAAATAACAATTAAGTTTAGGAACAAAAAACACAGATTAAAGATGTAAGATTATTTGTAAATTTCACACTTCCTCTTCCTTTTACAGTCTGAGATTCTAATTGCAGTATGGTGTGCAAGAACTAAACGATTGAAAACTAGTAAAATCGCTTCTCATATGTTCTGATGCTCTAGGGTCCACTATCCACAGTTGATTCTTACTATTGAGAGCAATAAGAGCGGATGGAAGACTACCTTGATATGGTAAAAGGCTGGTAATAGGCTCAAAATATTGTCCAAGAAGCCTTTGGAAAACTTCAAGTTGTTCTTCGAAGAATGTATTATGTTTGTGGGGTTTGTCTTCTTCTGATGTTGTGTTTGCTTGATTTTACCTATCACCTATGACTTTGTTGGGCTTCCAATCTCGCAATGTTCACACTGCGATCTATTCCTCTTTTATTTGTTGACCTAAGACGATTTATGAGTGTATAAAACTGAGTTATCAGTAATTGATGTATTGGTTTTACCTGTCATCATGAGTTTCTTCCAATTTTCTTCGTACTTCAATAAAGACTTCACAAATTGAGGAAGAGGTTTGGTTCTCATGATTCTTACTTTGAAATCATCTAGTTCCTTGTTAAGTACTAGAAGGAGCTTGAAGGTTCTCTTTTGTTTAACAATGATTTCGTAAAGAGAAGAGTAATGTAAGCACTTCCATGCGTATGTTTCATATATATCTAATTTATTTCATAAAAGGTGAGTCCACAGAGCAATATGCACAATTTGAAACCGCAACTCATAGTGGAAAACTCCGCCCTTAACCATCATGTCACAAATAAGGGCACTCATATATATCGAGTTGGAGTCAATAATTGGAGAGAGTGTAGAAATATTGAGTAACATTCAAATCACCTGGTTGCATGATACATAAGCTAGTTCCAATATCAAACAACTAAAAGGCGTTGTAAACAATTGAATAGGTTTCCCTTGCAACATCCCTGCTTTTTTTTGTCGTTTTATACAAGAGGAAGTTTTATCTAATTTTTGTGATAAAAAGTTGACAAGTCATAATATGACCACGTGACTAGACCCGCAATTACTTGTATTTTTAATCTCCTTAATTTTGCCAAAAAATATGTCTCAAATTATATCTAGCGGCCAGTGTGAATAAATGTAATGATTAAAATAAATTTTCACACTAAGGGTACTACGCAAGTATACGTATCTTTTCAATTAATATATGATTTTCTTTAAAAATCTCAGTATCGATCCCACGAGGAATGGAGTAACTCTTAATATCAACTTACAAAAATTCTATTTAAATTGCAAATTAAGAAAATAAGAGATTTAAAATAACATGCTTACTAAAAATTACTACTAAATAGTAAGAAAGAAGGTAACAACTAAATGTAACAGTTTAACAAAATATAATGAGTTTCGATATTATGGAAAACATTTCCCCTTGTAAAGAGATTTTAATTTATGTAATATTCAAATGATTTAAGACAAAATTGAGGTATTATGAAAAATAGAAGCATACCTTATTTTTTACCCCCTCCTGACGCAGACAAAGAACATTAACAAACTAAAGGTTGATTCATTAACATCTCGATTCTGCATCAGTGTTATCTAGCCTCTCACCTCTAGATGCCCCTAAGTCTATGCCACCATGATGGTCGAATCTCAGTGTCAGAGTACTAAACCTTAATCCAAATTGATAAGACTATAGTCTGTCACTCTAGAACTAACCAATTTTACGTCCATCAAAACCTATCTCCCTATTTATTTGCACTCCTCCTTAGATAATCACAATGGCTCTGCCTAGAATGAAGTATGGTATCCACTAATTTGGTGAAATCATTGTCCTCTCAGGTCATTATGTTTCTCAACAGATTTTAACCTCAAAAGTGGTCAGTTTGCAAAGTAAATGAAGATTCGGTGAAAATATTATCACAATTTTTAAGAGTAAAAAAAATCTTTAAATCATTTTCATCTCACAAGATTAAGTCTCATATGCAAAAAGAAAGAAAAGAAACTACTCAGAATTCATGGAGATTAAACAAAAACAAAACATTTGCATTGAAATCCAAGTCTTGCAATAAAAACTTAAACACAAATACAAAATACTTTTTCTTCTCCCCAAATAAACTTATGGAATTTCCTTTAAGTAATCTCCAAACTTCTTCACACTAAAACATACTCACATATACAATTGAACACAAAATATGAAAAACATAATTTACTATTGCCGCCCAATTGAAGTTTTTAGGCTCTAAAAGGTCTCTAAATTCGGCCAAATCCTTCTCATTAAATAGAAAACATAAAATAATCAAGGGTTGCTTCAAAAAGCCTTCCAAAATTCGGTTAAATTCGACGTATCTTCTAGAAAAGTAGTTGTTGGCGCTATAGCGCCAGTCTGAAGGGTTATAGCTCCCATCTTCGCTCGTTTTTTGTGTTATGGCACCAAGGGGTGGTGTTATAGCGCCACACAAAAATATTCAATTTTGCTTCATTTTTCTCTCATTTTCTTTAAATGTTCATTCAATGTACCTGAAACCAAAATATTCTTCTTTAAAGTACAATATTATTAAAAAAGTACATAAAATGTTTATAAAATATGCACTAAAAACAAGTTATTTTTAGGTTGATCACCATGTGATGTCATAAATATTCCATATCTGATATTTAGGATTTGTATGGTGCAACACTTTCATCAGTGAGATGAACTTTTCTTTTGCCACAAACATACATGAACACAGATTGAGAGTATTAGAGAAAATTATTGTCATGAAGTTTGTGATTGATGATGTAAAAAGTGATTTCAAATGTTGTAAATCCAAAAATCCTAGATTCAGGTTTAGACGTAACTTCTGAGAGGAAGAATCAGTCTTCATGTCGTATTTGGTCATGAGAAGGTGTCGGCAGGAAGCGATTTCAGTAGAGAATGTAAGACATGGGCGTGTGATTTCCTCTAAAAAGAAATTATTTGTCACTAACATAGAATTTGCACTTGAGAGAAATTTTTTGTCACCCACATAAGATTTTCACGAGAAAGAGAAACTATTTGTTGTCGACATAATATTGTCATTGGGGAGAAAAATTGTCTGTCGCCAACATAGGATTTCTACGAGAGATATGAAACAACTGCCACCAGAGGATGAATTGACATATGGGACCTCGACCAGTGAGGCCGGGATTTTCAATAGAAAGAAAAAGTCGAACAGTAGTTTGTTCCCAACAATAGCGAGAGAAAGTATTAGGATTTCCACTAGAGAGAAAAGTCCCAACTAGCAAATACTCAATCCAAAAGTTCCACTAGAGAGAAGATTCAATCCGAGATTTTTCTCGAAAAATTAATGCTCGGAACATTGTGATTGACACCCGAGAAGTTGTTGGGTTGCCTACGTCTGGAAGCCTGCTAAAAGTTACGCTCGACAGGGAAGGCCAAGGAAGGAGTGAATCTAACAGAGGGCCTGCAGGGACTGGAGGGTGTAGGTAGAGACACCTGCAGAAAAAAGAGAGCTGGAGTTTTCTTCTGGGCTTTCATACCATGTAAAATTTAGGAGGAACTTTCTTAGAGGAAAAACTCTCTCCTTGTCCCTTAAGCAACCTAATACAATTGAAGGGAAATTCAAATCATCATGATGAGAAGGAAACAAAATGAAAAACACAATAATGGATAATTAAGAAAGGATAACTTCTCCCTCTCAAATGTAGGGGAGGACCCACAGTTTCCTAAACCGTGGGTGGTCATGTGATCCACGGTTATACGCAGTTTAGGCTTTCATACCTTCTGGCAACCAAAATGCCTACCAAAATGCCAAAATGTATACGCAGTCTAGGATAACTTCTACCTCAAGCAATTAATCTCTTACATGTAAACTAAATGCCTATCATACCATTACATTTTAAAACCAGCATTTAAGCCACGGAAAGTTTAGGCTTTCTTCAGAAACGACTACTAGGTAGACAACAAAAGCTAAAAGAACTTCATCAGAGTTTTATTCTTCAAGGTTTCTTCTGCGGTGCATTTGAATCCTCAAACTTATATTTGACCTTTCAATTAATTTCCCCAAGACCATCAAATTGCTCTTTATTAATCTCAGATTATGTTCTCTGTTAGCCTAAATGTGAGTGAAATACTCATTACAAGAGCTGATAACACCCAGCACACAACACCATCCCAACAATTGGTCAAATTTTAACATATTCAAAATTGTGACTAATTTACTTCTGACTTGAAGATGACTAACTAAAAATATTCGATTCAACACCACAAATCTGTCAAATTTTTGTTTCTTTACCATTTTTCTTTCATCCATAATTACTTTTGAATAAAACAAAAGTGGAATTGGCAAGTATTGCATGGATGGTACCCTCAACATTAGTAACTATAAGAAGCGGTTACTTATCATATATAATCATGCATAAACGCAATGTATCAGTCAGAACTAACCTGAATTTGGAGAAACCGGCAGCGTTGAGCAACAGAATGGTATAGTTGGATCTCCCAAATGCTTTCATATGAAAGTTCAAGCTTATACAAGCAATCTTCCCATGATGTGAATAGGGATATCTTCCTCAAGTTAAATCCAAACTCAATTCTGGCATCCCTCGCTGTCCAGAGAATATATAACTTTTTCTCAGAAATCTGGCAACCAAAATGCACTATAACATCCTCCATAACATGTGACGCAGTGATAGGCTTAGGTACAATGTCACGCTCAACATCTCTAGACGTCAAGTAAGATTTCTCGAAACACAAACGCTGCTGACGAGTCATATATTTGACCTTCGTAGCTCCCGTGCTGCTTATGAACTGCACAATAGCAAATGCTTTTGATGTACTTTTGATAACTTTGGGATGTCTAAGCTTCACAGCAAACACAGATCCTTCTCCGGTGTAATACTCCAGACATTCTTTCACTTGAATTGCCGTAGTATGAAGAGGGAAACCAGAAACCTGAATTGTTTTACCTCCTATTTTTGAATCTGAAGCATGAATGTTCAATTTCAATTAATAAAAACGATTAGAAGCCAGAGAATTGATTTTAAATATAAGCAATAACAGTTTCTTTAGGGGCTGTTTATGGTCATTTTTTGTTTTATTTTTAAAAGGTATGTTTGAATTGTGTTTTCCAACTTGTTTGTTTGTTTTTGAAAATAAATCAGCTAATTTTTAAAATACTTTAAAAACTTTTTTATTATTTTTAAATGAAAATCACCAAAGCCAACCCCCATTATTGCTAGACACTGGCAATGCCACTATCAGTTCTCATCGCCACCATATGAAATATTCAATAAAAACAAACAGAATACTTATTTCGAATGCCAAATATAGTCTTATATCATATCAGAACATAAATAAAAGATAAAGATAAACGCAAAAAAAATAAAAGGTGATTCCAAATAGCTCTTCAATAATGACATAAATTCCTCTGTTGCATATTTAGCAAGATGAGACTTGCAACTTGAAACACTATGATAGGCCTCAATTCTCTATAAAGATGTCGTAAAAGTTTAAAGTTGTTAAGTTCTTATTTTTTATCTCAACCACGAGGGCAAAATGTTTGTTGAATAGATCCTTGCATACTCAATATTATTGGAGGAATTAATAAAATATAAAAGCTCTAGTGCCTATGTTTCATCTACACAATCATTGCTTGGATGCGTAGGAATCTTGAGCTCGCCCAGTCATCCAAATTTGTCACTTCGCATGGCTTGGCCATGGCGTCTCACCCTCGAACCCATGTGTTTGAGTGCATGATGTGCTAGTCCTAGTGCTTACCAATAAGGCACATGAATTGAGCCTTGTTGCTGCTCCTGGCAACAGCATCCTTCATGGCTAGCACATTGTCTAGGGCTGCAGCCTTGCTAGCTATTTTGTTTGCCTACGGCTTCTCACCACTTCACATTTATCCCACATTTCCTTGCAAAAAATCAATACACTAACATCCGGTTTTCTAATAACTCTCTCGAGTAGTCCAATCGATACACAAATTCCCTCTTTCCACAATAGGCTCATGCTCCTACACCCTTCCCTGCACCTCGCAGGTGCTCTAGCTTTTACCTAAACCCCCTACCAGGCCACCTTCATCACCACCACTTGTTTTAATGGCTTGTCTTCTAGAAGAGCTTCTCCTACATATCAACATGAATTGGTGCCTCATATTGCTTGGTTGGTTACTTGTTCAGCGGGCTCATTGATCCTTATCAAATCATTGTAATCTATGAAAGTATATTACAACAGACTCTTCTCTTAAAGATCCTATCATGTGAATGGCTATCTAGCGTGCATGCTAAAATGGCCTTCCTACTTTAACTCTTCCAAGTAATCACCAATCACTCAAGTTTGGATTGCTTTTCAGTATTTCAACTAATCCACTTTATGTTATCTTCACCCTATGTTTTTGTAAACCTTTATGAATTTTTCAAATTAAGAATAATGCGGAGTGGAATATTTTGGAATACTTTTATTGATATGAACGGAATACTTTTATTGATATGAACGGGGGTATAAATAACCCTTACAATAATCCTATAATAGGAAAAATAATAAAAAAGAAATGATATGAAAGGAAAGACATATCGCATGATATCTCCAATAATTAATTCATATTAATTATTAGGAATTATTAGAAGATAATAAGAAATAATATAAATTAGGAAAACAAATAATCCATAATATATAAAAAGAAAATATCTCCTTATATTAAAGAAAGAATTTATTCCTCATAACCAGGAATAAATTATTTTTCTATTATAAGTTTTAACGGGAAAGACAATAAATCTTGTAATTTAAATTAGATATTTCAACCCTCCCCCTCCACTCAACCCTCCCCCTCAAGTTGAACATGGTTGAAAACCATATTCAACTTGAACTAGAAACATCGGCTGCAGTATGCTGACTGGACAGGTAGCATCAATTTGTCAATAAAAAACTCCAACAATCCTCAAACCGTAAGTGTCGAAGCCGAAGGTCTCGTCGGCAGCATATATGCCTGAAGCAAGTTCTGACGGTAAGAAAGGTCGTTGGAGGGAATTTCACCGGCATGAAGGACTGCAGGAGGGACTTCCAGTGGAAGGAAAGTCATCAAGTGATAGGTCCCACTGTAGGTAGGTGCTTCGACGGTCCTGGAAGGAAATCGGGTGGTCCGACGGCTGGAAGATCCCGCAGGAAGGATCTGCGACTGAAAAAACTACAGCGAAAAACGACCATGGGAGAGCCCCAAGGAAGTCAGTGCTCTGTGTGGTTCTGTGGGGGACAACGATTTCCACCAGAGAGTGAAAATCGGGATTTCAACTGGAGATCTTCTATGATTTGCACTGGAGAAAAAAATATCTCATTGGCGAACCAAAATTTCTACTAGAAAGAGAAAATAATATTCGTTATTTGTTGAAAATGTAAGTTTGCAGTTGTCCAAATGTCTGCGCAGGGAAAACCGCTGAAATCGTAATGGTGTAGTGAACCAGACACCTACGCAGGGAAAAAATTGAGGCAGAGAAAAGGCTGCAAAAATTGACTTCGATGACTGGCGGTGCCTGCATAGTGAAAAACCGAGGTGTAACAGAAGTTACAGGAATTGTCGGATGCAGAGAAGAATGTAGAGAGGTCTCCGGTTGTGATGGCTGAATCGATGAAAGGTCGGGACACAGGAATTTGGCTCGGGGTGCTTGACGCGTAAGAAGTGGGCGACCTTGAGGTCCTCACACTAAAAGCAATTAGCAAACGCAAGGAACTCGAGTACGGTGTGGCGGGTAGTCATTTAGGGAGCCACCGTGACTGAAGCCTTTAACAGCGCGCATGGCACGAGCGAAGAGGCGGGTGAACTTGATGCCCTCGCAGTAAATCTCGGCGAAACCACCGTAGAGCAGCGTTGCAAGGGGTCTGGAGAAAAAAATCATTATTTCTCTCCCTTCCTGCACAGAGGATGACAGGAAGGGAGTCTGACGATCCTCAAAGAAGGGTCAGGAAGATCGGTGGCTAGAGTACGAAATTAGGCTCTGATACCATGTTGAAATTAGGAATAATGCAGAGTGGAATACTTTTGAATACTTTCATTGATATGAACGGGGGTATAAATAGCTCTTACAATAATCCTATAATAAGAAAAATAATAAAAAGAAAATGATATGAAAAGAAAGATATATTACTTAATATTTCCAATAATTAATTCATATTAATTATTAGGAGATAATAAGAAATAATATAAATTAAGAAAACAAATAATTCCTAATATATGGAAAAAAAAATATCTCTTTATATTAAGGAAATAATTTACTTCTCATAACTAGAAATAAATTATTTTTTTATTATAAGTCTTAACGGGAAATGCAATAAATCCTGTAATTTAAATTAAATATTTCAACATGAATAAATGTTGTTATGGCTCCTCTCTAAATCTTCTATGGTGAGAACTTTGGTTAAATTGAAAGTTACTATTTTTCTTAAAAATGAAGCCTCATCTTGTGGCTATTGCTAGAAGATAGAATATGAAGAAATTTCTTTCTATTGTTCTTCTGGAAATTATTTTGGGCATAATTAATGAACATTTTGAGTTTCATCTTAAAAAAAAAAATTGAAACTTTCAAACATATGAGGTGCATACAAATAATCAAGTATAATCAAGATGCCTATCAAATCCAAAGACATCAAAATGTTGGATTATCTAAAGATTAAATAGATCACAAAAAATGAAACAAAATTATCATTAATCTTTCTATAAAATATTACATTGATAAATAACATTGAACAAAACAAATTACTTTTAATAGATAAAACTTGTATTTAGAAATTACTGAGTTAAGCAAATCCTTACAACCAAAGCCTGTAGAAATGAACATCATATACACTATAAAAAATAGGGGCTATTCTCTACATAACACATAAATCTTGATTTTTTTTATAAAAATAACTCCCAACTATTTTTATATTTTAATAATACCACCCAATGACCCAAATGTTAAAGAGTATAGCATAACTACAATCCTGTAATTTTCTTACTTCACTATAGCTCAACGAATTATTTACCTTTATTTTTATTTTTTATATTTTAAATAGATATATGAATGATAAAGAACTGCAATGTTCTAAATAAAGCAAGCCATTTTAAAATACTGGTTGAGAGCTTAGACAATAAACCAAGAGTTCTCGGGTACTTCATTTTTTAAAATAAAAATCTTCCCAGTAAAATATGCGCAGTGAGATCTACTTGGAAAAAACGAGTTTCCCTTCCGAACAAGAGCGTCTGGCCACCAAAACCATAAGAAATCACAACTAAACAAACAAGATCCGCCCAACCATGGAGCAATACCCATTACCCATCAAACTAAAACGAGGGGGGAAAAAAAAAAAACAAATCACCAACAAAAGAGAAGAATGGAAAAAAATTACCTTCCTCCACACCCATCATCATCCCAAAACCGATCTTCCCCTAAACCACAAGAATCGCTACTGAACAAAGCACGATGTCCGCTTCTATCCGAATTCTCATCAACTGTACAACACAAAACAATCCGATCAACAAACAACCACTAAACAACGGCGATCAATAAAAACCCCATATAAAACCTGCGCCTACACTGAGAGAAACTCCGGAAGTTCTCAACTGCTCCGCATTCGCACCGGACTTCAAAGCCAGAAATGGAACATTATAAAAGCTTGGGACAGTACCCCGCCCCCACTCCTGCGGAGCAGAGATACCCTGAATGGTCTGATTGGTTATTATTCTCCATCACGAGGAAAACTAAGAAAACTTCACCGCTCGCCAACTGGACAAAGCGATGAGTGTGGAGGTGCGTGATTCTCGGAGTGCGCAGGGTAGAGTGAGCTTATTGGATGGGACCGACAAGCTTTAAGGTACGTTCGCCCCGCCCTCCTAATTTTCTGGTTTCGCTTTTGGCGTCAATGCCGAGTCGTCTGCAATTATTAGAAAGCTTGTTGGCGAAGGAGTTTGCGTACTGTTGCTCGTCAATCAAATTTAAAGAAGCTTGATTATAGGCTCAATTTTTTTTAAAAAAATATTTGGTTATAAATCATATTGAATTTGTTTTTATTTCCTTTCCTTTTCATATGAAAGGCTGATATGCATTGAATTTAAATAAATATTTCATTTTTAAGAAAATATATTTCATTCGAACCGTCATGTCATTGTACGTCTATACAGATGACCGTCAGCCATCATGTGGTCTCCGAACATAATATTTTCTCTATTTTTAGGAGGATTTGATCCATCGAGTATTTAACTTGAATAGAATTTAATAAATTTAGACTTACCGAATCCAAATGCGTTGAATTCATTAAACATTTGATATGACTAAAATTTAAAATAGATTCAGTTGAATCTCTTTGAATAATTTGATGTAAGAGGAGCGATAACTCGTATGTATGTTTTCTTTCACACTTGAGTCTTATAAATTTACAATTTAATAAATTTAAATTTTAGTCAAATAGATGGAAATTTAACTTCGATTTGCATTAAATTCTATTAAAAATGCATATCAAATACCTTGTTGACATAATTTTGTTTTAACCCCCTTAAATCATTCGTATTGAACAACATAGGATGAACTTTTATTTGTCAGTTGAATTTAAATGTAATTTGAATAGGTGAATTTTAAGTTGTCTTCTGAAATAAATTGGTATTATATATCACTTTTACAAATATTACTAATTATGAATATTTGATATTTAATTGGAACCTTCCAAGTTTTGCAGCTTTTTAACTAAATAGAGCAACAAATAAATCCATAATATTCCAAAAAAAAAAAGGTATGGAAGATATAAAATGTAAAATATTGTTATTATTGTCATAATAAATGGGGGGATTACATGCCTACCAGGCAAATCTTGATAAATAAATGTGACATTTAACATCTAAAATTATACATAGAGAATGCACCAGCATGAGTCTATCTTGGAGAGATTCAGCGACCCTTGAGAACAATATGTACAACTAAGGAGGCTTGTTGCGCAAGATCGAATGACCACCTTATTTGACCAGATAAACCCCATTGAACTGAGACAGGAGGCCAACCAGGTGTAGAGCACCCGAACGGAGGACCAAAGATAATTGAGTCTAGCAAAGGCATCGATCCATTTATCATATCAACTTGAACCAGGGAAAAAAGTTTAGTTTCACCGATGGTCTTATCGATGCCCTTGAGATTTCTCATAAGGGATCAAAAATTTGTAATAACATGGTCAACAAACATCCCGGGATAGCCTAGTCAATGAATGAGCTATTTATTGGATTATGTTGATTCAAAATCTGCCCAATTGTCTAATCTCGTTATGCCGATATGAGTCCTTTATTCAGGGATCAACATTCAACAGTAATACTATGATAACTGATTAGCAAAATTAAGTCGATCGAGCCAGTCCTGCCAACCCGAAGGCCATCAAAGTCTAACTAGCAACTCTGATTCGACATAATCGAACATTCAGGCCTTATCAAACCAAGACTCACCCAAAGGACAATGAAATCATAGGCCCATACATATAAAATACCTAACATATCTTATAACATTCTCATTAAAGCATGAGCAAACATATAAATTCACATATTAAGCCCTCACTTCTATAAATAATGGATTAATTTATGAGAAAAAGTTAATTAATAAGACTAATTTCTATTCATTATTTTGCATCTCCCTCTCTTATCTTGCGCTCTATTCATTAGATGTGATTCACAGACAAATTAAGATTCAACAACCTTAAATGTCTTGGGAGCATGGATCATATCACATACAAGAAAAAAAATAGCACACGGAGAAGAAAATCATAACATAGACACTGATAATATGTAGTGCACCAGGAAGTTCATGTAACAGTAAATCTCGGAGCTAAATGATCAAATAATGGATGTATTCCGAGAGGCATAGTCTCGAGGAATGGAGTAGAATCCCCAAGAGGAAGGGTTGGCGGCTAATTGAAGAAGGGGCGTCACTGCTTGTGAAAGAGATAAGGAGATTCTTAGTACTTTAATAGTGTTGGTTTGGGCCTGATGAATAAACAGTAGTTCAAGTGCACTAAGGTGCCCTGTCAGTCAGAGAATGCATTCTCTCGACAAATCTCTGAATTCAAACCCCTAGAGAGCTTTGAAATATATGCTTCCAACCAAACACATAACTTCTTTTAAGTTGACCGTCTCCTTGCTGAGGATCACTGACATATTATAGTGCCTCTTTCCTTGATCTCGCTGAGAAAGTTGGCCCTCATGTGGTTTGACGGATTCCCACAAGAGGTGATCATCTCATTTGCTGACTTCAAGTGAATGTTTGTAGAGCGGTTTGTTGCCTAGAAGCCCCAAAAAAGTGGCATACCCTTCTATAAGGGGAAATATGGAAGTCTCTGCTCATTTTATTGCTCAATGTTAGAAGTAGATGATGGAAGGGAGAAATCTAGAACTCGTACTAGCTCATGTTGTCATAGCCCAAGGGCTAAAAGAAGTTCTATTTCGCTATGCTTCAGGTCTACAACAACAGAAGACCTTAGCTGAGTTGTTGGAGTTGAAGAACAACTATATGTTGACCGAGAAATGCAACTTCACCCCCTTTTTTTTCAGAGTAGAGTCTTTCACATGTCGTCTGTAGAAGAGGGACTCTAGAGATGGCATGTGGAGAGTGATAGATGATTCACGTCCTTATGCTCACTCACATTATGAAGGCAATTGACCGACTTGAAACCACAGGGTGGGGTGGGGGTGATAGACCCTATAGCTCAAGGAATCAGACTAATTTCTTCATCAGCAACTGACTTAATACAATGAGTGTATGATGCCCCATAATGAAATGCCAAAGACAACCTTTTTGAGGGTATCAATGACCGGTATCATCTTCGATCCACTTAAAAACATGACTCCAAACACACAATTCCTAACACTTAACTTAATGTCACTCTTCATTAGAAGGAACTAATTCTTATCTCTCAGTAGTTTCTCCAGGAATATAGAGTTGATAAAACGGACGGTGGTGACGAGCTCTAATACTATCATCTTTGATCCACTTTTCCACTTTTGCTTAAGGAATCCACTTTTGCTTAAGGAACATCGCCTTATCCGCTGAGAATCACTGATATACTATAGCGCCTCTTTTCTTGATCTCGCTGAGGAAGTTGGCCCTCATGTGGTTTGACGGATTCCCACAAGAGGTGATCACCTCATATGTTGACTTCAAGTGAATGTTCGTAGAGCGGTTTGTGAGTGCCTAGAAGCCCCAAAAAAGTGGCATACCCTTCTACAAGGGGCAAAATGGAAGTCTCTGCTCATTTTATTGCTCAATGTTAGAAGTAGATAATGGAAGGGCGAAATCTAGAACTCGTAGTAGCTCATGTTGTCATAGCCCATGGGCTAAAAGAAGTTCTATTTCGGTATGCTTCAGGCCTACAACGACAGAAGACCTTAGTTGAGTTGTTGGAGTTGAAGAACAACTATATGTTGACCGAGAAATGCAACTTCACCCCCGTTTTTTTCAGAGTAGAGTCTTTCACATGTCGTCTGTAGAAGAGGGACTCTAGAGATGGCATGTGGAGAGTGATAGATGATTCACGTCCTTATGCTCACTCACATTATGAAGGCAATTGACCGACTTGAAACCACAGGGTGGGGTGGGGGTGATAGACCCTATAGCTCAAGGAATCAGGCTAATTTCTTCATCAGCAACTGACTTAATACAATGAGCGTATGATGCCCCATAATGAGATGCCAAAGACAACCTTTTTGAGGGTATCAATGACTGATATAGTATAAGCACTTTAAGAAACCTCCCTAAATGAAGGCTAGAACTTACCTTCAGGATCCGAAGAAGTGTTGCACATACCGTCAGGATCACAACCATGATCCAAAGGATTTTCAACACCTTTGAAGCCTAATTGAGGGAGTTGATCAGGCCTAAAAAACAAAAAAGAGTTTGTGGCACTGAGAGCAACCACTGAGAGGTAGGTAAAATCTCCAGTATAAGAAATTTTGGATGAGTCGATACTAGTGAGTGCAATTCACATTGCTGACATAGTAAAAGTTATGGAGGAGGTGAAGAATCATCTCTGACGTGTTCTAGAAAATTTTTGGCAATAAATTAATGGATTGTCGTCTTAGCGTTATACGAGAATTCAATACAGACTTAGATGAAATAAAAACAACCATAGAGACACCTGAAGTTTTATGTGAAAAACACGTAAAGGGAAAAACCACATGGTTCGGCCTTGCTGAAGAAATTCGCTATAAATTAAATATTACAAGCATAATCCCTCGTCCCACAAACGGGAAATAATTAAACACTCTTCAAAATTACAACGTCGATTCACATATGAAATTGTTGTAAGAAGTGTGGGACAGCTAATGATGATCAACAACAACTGCCAAGAGATGGTCGATAGTGGTCGGTGACTGGCGGTCGACAGTAGTCAGTGGTGGTGGACAATGAGGTGATGATGAACTTCAGCTCATTCTCCAAATTTCAAACTTTCCTTCAGACTTCCAGCTCTCTATTTTCTCACGAGAGGGGTGTGACTCTATTTAAAGAGTCCTAATTACACTTAATGAATGAATATGAACCACTCTGATGGGATGACTCGGAGAATTTCCCTCGATTAGACGACATTTGATGGACATTTAAATGTCTTTAACAATGTTGAAATTGAGTGATATTAGACTTGTTGAGACGCTCAATTCGATTATAAGCTCACCATATTTAATATCAATTTGACATTCCAAATTTATCTGAAAATCTTATAAAAGCGGCTTAATGACTTGATTTGAGTTTAACTTGAATCTGATCAATTTTGATACAATTGAGTATGTTAAATTTGTCGAACACAAAACTCTAAAAGACTTCTAATCTAAATTCCTAAAGTTGATTCCAACTCGACCAAAAATTTTGGCAGATTTAGAAAAGGTTTTAAACTATAACTAATAATGTTGTAATGCCTTATAATAAATAT